CATGGAGCAGTAGTGAGGTATCACTAATCAACTGCCTGAGAGCTACGCTGGGGTCTGAAGGAAGGCCTCTGGGCTGTTGTGAGGTTTTCTAAGGAGGATTCAGGGGAGACCTGGAGCAAACAACAAGCACGGATGGTTGGTAATCTGCACTGGTGGGCCAAGTGCCCACATGAAGGCACCCAAGTATCCCAACCATATGTTCTTTAAGGGTTGCACAATCCTAGTTCCAGAGCTGGGCCGACTTGCATTTTACAGATGAGGAGATGGAGGCACTTTGCCCAGAAGGCATCAGGTGTGGGATTTGGACCCGAATCCTTGGCTGTAGAGGCAATGACCTTTCTACTGTACCTTAGTTGAATGAGAGGTCACCAAATAGGTTTCTACAGTCTTGTTATTTGAAAACTGCTTCAGCTAAACCAATTCAATCCTTTTTTTTGTTTGGTTTTGCTTGTGGGGAGAGAAGCTTCTAAGTATGAAAATGAACAATGAAGCTGATTAAGCCCTAATTCCTTGGGCTGGCTTTAATCAGAAGCACAGTGGAATAATGCTTCTGGGAACGCCTTTGATTGGAAAAATGGGGCCTTGGGCCTTAGGGATTTTAACATCAGCAGGGCCTGGGCTGGGTGGCAGGCTGCACAATGATTATAGGATGTGAAGGCTTTCATTATTTCAGAACCAAACCAGGCCAACCTGACCTAGAAGGATCCTTATTAGAAAGACACACACCTATCAGACTGATTTTTCATCACTCCACACGAGCAGTGGCCGGGCCTCCACCCTGCATGCAGGTGCCGGCTCTCAGATGATGCTTGCTGTGGGGGTCCCGGTCCAATTCACATTCATCCCTCCCAGGGCCACCTCGAGAAGTTTAGCGGTTCTGCCACCATCCAACATGGGATCGCGACATTCAGAGGCCTCTGTACTGTCATACTCATCTTTGGCTTTTAAAACCACCTGACTCCCTGGGCCTTGTACGGGGTGATACAGATGTAAACCTGACAACTGTGCCTTGAATTCAGAGAGGGCACTAACGGAATTTGGCAAGGATAAACAACTCTATTCAGAGACCACTTGATAATCAGCATTTCTTGAGGGATGGAAATGGCAGCATAGGAGTAAACATCTCATCAGTGAGTTAAACGCCTAACGTGTCAAGACAGGCGCCACTAGATTGGTATTCACCGAGCCAAGGCCATCCAATGGACAGAACACCGGGCTGGTGGGAAGGGGCGGGGACTCCTCCATTCCACAAACATTCATCACACAATTATGATAACAATTGCAGCAGTGAGCACATGCTGGCTGGATGACACTGTCTACCTGGTGGATGAGGAAGGCCTTTTGCACCTCACCTAAGTGTGTGTGTGATTCTACATCACTCAGCTATTGTGGAATTTCACAGAATTATGACTCTTTATGCTCAATAGGATTACATGTGATTTCATGTGTGTGCGGAACCAATAGACATGTAATATAGACAACTGCCTGTGGGTCTGGGCTAGAGATGGACAGATGATGGATGGATGGATGGATGGAAAGAGAGATAGAGAAATGGATGTATGGTAGATGATAGAGAGATAAAGGAAATAAAGGATTAAGTGGATAGAGAGATGGAAGGATAGATTGATCGAAGGATAAATAGATGGATTGATAGATGGATAGATAAAGAACTAGATAGAGAGATGGATGGATGAATGGATGAATGGAAAGAGAGATAAATAAATGGATGTATGTATAGTTAGATGGATAGAGTGAGATAGGTGAATGGAAAGATAGAGAGAGACAGATGTATGGATAGACAGGTAGAGAGAGAGAGAGAGCTAGACAGAGAGATGGATGGATGAATAGAAAGAGAGATAGAGAAATGGATGTATGTATAGATAGATGGATAGACAAATGGATGGATGGAGAGATATAGAGATAGTGAGATAGATGGAAAGAGAGAGAGATGGATGTATGGATAGACAGGTAGATGGAGATAGATAGATAGATAGAGAGAGAGAGAGAGAGAGAGAGAGAGAGAGAGAGAGAGAGAGAGATATGGAGAGAGAGATGTATGGAGAGATAGATGAAGAGATGGAGAGAAAGGTGAATGGAAAGACAGAGACAAGGACAAAGCGAGCATTTATTAAGGGGAGCTCTGCTCACTACAGGTTCCCCCCCATTTTCCACTGGTCACCCCACTGTTGGCCTTCTTTGGGCTCTCCAGAGTACCTTCCTTCCCCAGGAAACTCACCCCTGGGAAATCTCATGGTGCTGCCAGCCTGCCTGGTCCTCCCTTCTCCAGACTCCTCTGCCCGTTGGCTTTGGGCAGGGCTGTGGGCCCATGGAGGAGTGGGCTCAGCACGGGCTCCTCCTCACTCCACACCGGCTCTTCTCCTTTGGAAAGTCTTTGTTTTCCATCACATCTCCCCACCCCCAACTCCCTTCCAGCTGCCTCCTGCGCCTTGTCTCCCTCTGTTAGAGTGTAAGCATTTTGAGGGCAGGGGCTGTCTTTGTTTTCATTTGTGTTTCTAGAGCTTAGCACGGGGCCCTGAGTACTTAGCAGGTGCTTAATAAACATTCTTCGACTTGCCTGCCCTCCAGTGACTAGCCCAGGCATTACAGGAGGGCCTTGAGATCCCGCTGCCTACAGCAAGCTGCCTACACCCCTGGGTCTGTGGTCTCACTGATGCGGCGATTCTCCGTCCTGTGACTTCTTGTTGGTCAGTCAACAAGCATTTATTGAGTGCTTACTGTATGCCAGGTTACTATTGTCCATTCTGAATTTGCGCTTTATCCAATAATTTCATTTTTGAACCCCGGATTATCGGCTGCCTTGGACTTGACTCCTTTCCGGGCTGAGGCCGGGCTGCCGGGGCACAGTGAGGAAGCGGGGTGCCAGGCGGCGGGAGTGAGATGCCCCCCCCCGGGCTGCTCCCAGGCTCTGATCGCCGCCTGTCTCATCGTCTTCTACATCCCCGCCCCTCCCGTCCCACCGGACGGGCCTCGAGACCCGGCATCCTTGCTTTCTCACCCTTCCAGCTGCTCCTCTGCTGAGGCCTGCTTCCCGCGGGGCACCCCCCTCCCACCGTGGCGAGGGCCGCTCCGCTCAGTGATTGCCACCCTGCCTATGCAGATACCACATACCTGGGTGGGCAGCTGCCTCTTCAGAGAGCCCCTCAGCAAAGCATCCTCCGAGTACTGGTTACCGAGGCTGGGCTGCCCCTGGAAAAACGTTCCGAGGCCGGCTCTGGCAGAGGGGATGTCGGCCTCCTGGGGCGAGCTCCTCTGCTGCATGTATCTCCTGGGCCCCCAGGCCTGGGGTCGTCGGAGCCCCCAGCCCAGCGGGGGCCGGGCCTGCCTGAACAGCATGGATTCCCTGCCGAGGGCCTCGGGGCTGACCCGGAGCCGGAGAGGGAAGCTCGCTCGTCCTGGGCCGCCCGGCTTGGAGAGCTCTTGGACCTTGGGGCCCTCCCCGGTCCCTCCCCGGTCCCTCCCCTTGGACTCTCTCCCCGGTCCCTCCCAGTCCCTCCCCTTGGACTCTCTCCCCAGACCCTCCCCAGTCCCTACCCAGTCCCTCCCCTTGGGCTCTCCTTTCCTCCCCCCTCTTCTGTCGGAGGGTAGAGCACTGGCTGCATGACCTCGTCCCTCTGGGCCTCAGTCTCCTTATCTGTAAAATAGAAAGGCTGGCCCTCTCCAGATTTAAATCTGTGACCCTCTCCTCGCCTCTCTCCTTCTCCTCTCTTCCTTTGCACGGTCGTCCTTTTCCTTCTCCCTCCTGCCCTCCCTAATCCCTCTCTCCCTTCGGTGCCTTCCCTGATTCAGGGGCTCGAAGAGCCAAAAGGGATGCCGAGCTTATGGGGAGGGGAGCAGAGAGCACCGTCCAGTCACAGTCTGAGCTCTTTAAAGCGCCAGCCGCCTTCTTCTCCAGAGGAGGAAACTGAGGCCCAGGGGAATGAGATGTTTGTCCCCCACCCCACAGGTAGTCAAGTGAGCAAGCATTTATTAAGCCCCTACTGTGTGCCAAGAGCTGTGCTGAGCCCTGGGGATACAAAGATAAGCAAAAAACAGCCCCTGCCTTCAAGGGGCTTACAGTTTAATGAGGGAGCTGACGTGCGAATAATTCTGATACATTGGGAACAGCCCCAGAGAACTTTCAAGTTAGCATCCCGGGTTCTCCGGCTCCACCCCAGCCCCCAAAAGGTTCCTGAGGAAGGGCGAACTTCAGTAAGGACTGCAGACAGGGAGCGCTCATTGACTGAGAACTGGAAGGGACCTCAGAGAGCCATCAATCAATCGGTCTCTCTCCTCTCTCTCCCTCTGTCTCCTCTCTCTCCTCTCCCCTTCTCTCTCTCTCCCTCTCTCCTCTCTCTCTCTCCCCCCATATATATATAATATATATGTATATATAATATATGTATATATATATATATGTGTGTGTGTGTATATATATATATATATATATTATATATATAATATATATATATTATATATATATATATATATAATATATATATATATATATATATATATATATAGTTTTTTTGTGAGGAGATTGGGGTTAAGTGACTTGCCCAGGGTCACGCAGCTAGTGAGTGTTATGTGTCTGAGGCCGGATTTGAACTCAGGTCCTCCTGACTCCAGGGCCGGTGCTCTATCCACTGTGACAACTAGCTGCCCCCCAGTCAACATTTCTTAAAGCGCCTACTACGTGCTAAGTGCTGAGCATACAACGAAGAGGCCATCTACTGCAGTTCCCTCATTTTACAGAACCGCCAGGCCCAGAGAGTACACAAGGACTTGCTCAACGTCCCGCCGGCAGTAAGTGGCAGAGCTGGGATTCGAACCTACATCTCTGACTGTCTGGTGGAGCGGGAGGAGTCTCGTCTTGGCACCTCCCCCCATCCTCAAGGGCGCCCGCGCAGGCGCTGGCGGAAGCCTTTACTGGACTGTGCGCGAGACGCGAGAGCCGTTAATAACCGTCAGCCCCAGCTGCGGTCTCTAGGGAGGGTGGGGTCGGGAGTTTTCTATTTACATATTCATGAGGTGGCGGCCAACCGCGGAGCAGGGGCTCTGCTAATCCGGCAGGAGCAGGGCGGGGAAGGGCGCCAGCACCGCGGGCCCGTGCCCAATGAGCGGGCTGCTAGTCATGCATTACTCATGAGCCGCCGGTGGGCAGGCGCAGTTTGGGCGGGAAGAGCGGAGGAGACACTGGCTGTGAGGGGAAGGTCGCGCTCGCGGGGAGGGGTGGGGGTGGGGCTGGGGGCCTTGGCCTCTTCCTCGCCGCCCTCTTTGGGGCTGTGGGTGGCTGGGTGGGTGGGTGTTTACCGAAACCCTCCCTCACCGCAGGGTCCTGAAGAGAAACCTGAGGGGGCGGGGGCGGACGAGGCCGCAGGCGAGGCCTGGCTCCCCGCGGGGGAAACTGAGGCACGGAGCGGTCAAAGCTCTAGACCATAGACTGAGGGCTGGAAGGGGCTCAGAAGCCGTCTAGTCCATCCCCTTCGTTTTACAGAAGAGGAAACTGAGGCACGGGGAGGTGAAAGGATCATAGATTGAAGGCCGGAAGGGGCCTTCCAGGTTCTCTAGCTTAACCTCATTTTAGAGGTGAGAGGACAGGCTTCCGGGGACCGCGGCTACAGGCGTGGGGAGGGACGAGAGGAGAAGGGTCCACAATTCACAGAAGTAGGAGGGGGACATTCGAACTCAGGACTTGCGACTCCCATCAGGGTTTTTCTAGTTTGAAGATTCCCAGACTTTGGGCTGTGCTCTTTCCTCTTTTGACAACAGCGCCCCCCATCCCCCCGCCCATTCCCCTCCGGCAGCGCCGTGGGGAGGGCTCTCTGGGCCTGAACCCCCCCCCCCCCCCCCCCCCCCGGCTCGGGCTCCTGCTCCTCGACGAAAGGGACGCTTTCGGATGCTGTCGCTGGGCCCGTCAGCGCCTTCCCAGAAGCGCGCGGGGCCGCGGGCTGAGTGAAGGGGAGGGAGGCGGGGTCCCGGGCCCTGGTCAGCGCGCAGTCCGCCTGCAGCGGGGCCTCGCGTGGGCAAGGCCGTTGGCAGAGCAGCGCCCTCCCTGGCCTTTGCGATCGGCCCCTCCCCGCAGCCTCGCCGTCGGCCCGTGGTGCGGAGGAGGGAGCGGGCTGCGCAGCGGCTGGGCTCCTAAGCCGGGGTCCCAGAGCTGGGGTCCGCGCGCCCTGGGTGGCCACGCCGGTATTGCCCACTCCCTCACCCGTGGCTTCCCCGCGTGCTTTTGGGTGGGAAGCGAGTGGAAGCCACGTGCTGAGTTTGTGGTGGAGGTACTGGGCAGGCAGGGTCAGAATCGCAGATCGTTCTTATCAGGGTGTTTGAAACCTAGCTGTGGGGGAGGGTAAGTGGGCGAGTCCTAGAACGCTTGCGGAGGAGATTTGGGCAAGCGGGATGGCCGCCTCGAAACGATCGAAGAGCCGGGGTGAGCGAAGGGTGCCTCTCGCTGTGCGTGGTGTTTCGGGGAGGCGGATTTCGGGCTGACCGTCTAACGATGAGCGCTTGGCCGAAATGTAAATAGCTGCTCTGCTGGGTGGTGCCCTGTTTCTGGGGGTGTTTGAAGGGTGGTGGTTTGGCCGCTTGGGAGACGGTAAAGGACAGTGTATTATTGCCCTTGGACGAAGGGATTGGACTCAGTGACCCCGTTTGAAGTCTCCTCCGGCGTTCTGATTCTGTGGATTCTGAATTCTTTGCTTTTTCGTTTCCTTCCAATCCCCGGATTGTATGCGTCAATGAAACGTGCTCGTTGACTGTCAAATGTGCCATCTTCCTATGAATAACATCAGGAGAGAAAGGCGGCTTTCCCCCCATAGGGTCACACCTAGCTTCCCAGGCAGGGACACCTTAGTCCATACAGGGCTACAGATTGCCTTGTGAAGAGCAGCTCGTTTCAGGGAAGAAGAGGAGTCATTGAGGGGAGGGCGGGGTAGTGTCAGGAATTTGGCCCAATAGGATAGCCTTTCAAAAATAAAATAAAAGTGGTAGTGTAGATTCAGGACATGTGGCTTTGTATCCAGACTGGAATACTAGTTGTGTGCCCTTCTGTGAACCTCAGTTTCCTCACCTGTAAAATGGGTGTAGTTAGACTTGTTCCTACTTAGCCTCAAGAGCTGTTTTGAGGAAAGTGATTCGTAAACCTTAAAGTGGTATTGAAATGTGAATTATTTAGTACTTTATGTTTCATAGAGGGCTGGATTTAGTCAGAGAGACCTAGGTTTGCCACCTGAGACCGTTTGACCGGGGGCAGTCAGAAAACCAACCAACAGCCATTTCTGAAGCACCTGTTTTGGGCTAGGTGTGTATTAGGCACCAGGGATGCAGATACCAAAGTGAGAAGTCTCTGCCCTCAAGGAGCCCCACGAGTAAACACAAGAGATGTACAAAAGAATCGCAAAGTGATTGAGGAGGATACCAGCATCTTGGGAAGGAATTGGGAAGAAGGCCTCTCAAAAGATGCAAATCACTCAGCCTCAGTCTCCACATTTGTAAAATTGGATGAATACGTCTAGTGCCTACCTTGAAGAATTAGTGGAAAAATCGAATGGGATAATGAATGTCGAGCTCTTTGAAAACCTTCAAATTTGGCGTAGATGACATATATATATATATATAAAACACATTACACAGCACTGTTTTTACATAAAAGGCTCTAAAAATCCTTTACCAACCATGTTATTCTCTACCACATTTCTGGCCACTCCCCCAAAGGGTAAAATTGTAGGCATTTGAACCCCATTCCAAACAGGGAATCGAAGGCACAGAATGGCAGAGATTTGCTTCAGGACGCCATCAGTGGCCGACAACCTAAGAGCCCTTCGGGGAGAGTGCCACAAAGCTTTGCTTGCACAGTGTAGATGTGTGGTGGGTGAGGTATGAATGCCCCTGTGAAATTCCAAATGTTTGTGTTTATTATGCACAGAACACATAAGCGAAAGACATTTGAAAGTTAGGGTTCTGCCCTTATGAAATCCCTCCTGTGTTTTTAGATAAAGAGTCAGAGAACAAGGTGGTGAGAACATCAGAGCTCTTCTCTGGAGCTTCCGATCTGTACTGCCAAGCCTGCCGGGGCTGGCAGCTAGAGAGCTTTCAAAATTAAACAGTTTGTACCGGAATAGGAGACCTCCGCAGAGCGCCTGCTCAAAAGGAACACAAAACAGCAGCAACAGGGCTGAATGGAGGCTGAACCCTTTGTGATCCAGGTCCTAGTGTTCCTGAACCCGGCTGACCTTGGAAGACCAGGAATAGACTGGACCCTGCTTAGGGAAGGCGCAACCCTCGTAACTGAGGAGCCGGGGGGCGGGGGGGGGAGGTGGGCGGCTGGACACAGTTAGCTTCGGATGGAATGAAAGTCCAGATGAAGGCTTCCCCCCATCCCCACCCTCTGGACATCTGCACCTGTATTCTCTCTCCTTCCTATGGACTTGTGCTAGGGTTAGAAGAGAATATAGCTTGGTGCCTGCCCTGTATTAGGTGCTTCATAAATGTTTATTGGCTGGCTGCATAGGAATCATTTTAGGATATTGGAGGACCTGGGTTCTAGTCTTGGCTCTTCTGTTTACTACTTGCATGACTTTAGATAGGTCACGGAACCCTTCTGTGTCTCAGTTTCTTCATCTGTAAAGGAGGGGGCTAGATTAAATGATCTCCAAGACCCCTAAATCTGTGATCCTGGGATCCTGTCCTATTCCCCTTCAACTAGACTTTTTTTAATAGGGTCCCTCTGTGTGTGTGTGTGTGTGTGTGTGTGTGTGTGTGTGTGTGTGTGTGTGTGTGTGTGTGTGTATGAAAGGCAAGATTGAATTGGGGAGTTTCTAACTCCAAGGCTGGCTCTCTATCCACTATACCAGGTTGCTTTTCCTGTCTATGTCTTTTTCCCATTTAGAATGTCAGTCTTCGCTAATTAAAAAAGAAACAAAACCAAACTTGTGATAGAGATGATTCTAGAAACTCAATAAACATTAAATGAGTAAGTCCCCAAAATGAGTGATTAGGATTCCCAAGGGTCACTAACTAGGGAACGTCCTGTGGGTTTTCCAGATGAAACAAGTTTAATACAGAACTCGAATACGTTTCAAAGACTGTAGACGTAATTCATTGTGTTTTAATTGGTAATGTCATCATCGGGGCTTAATTCTCTAGAAATGCTGTCATCGTGTCTTATAGTTACAAATAAATGAAGAAAATTCGAATATGGAAAGCTATTTAAAAATCATTATTCCTCTTATTTATCTTCTAAGACTAATGACTACCCCTGTAGGGGGTATTTTATAAGGACTAATGACCTTGGCCCTGCGGTATGAACTTTTAATAAATTGGCTCTAATTCCTACAAAGTCCTCAGATTTTCTTAACATTATCCTAACTCCTTGGTGGACTGCTTTTGTTTCGTGGAGGCATCCTGGGAGGGGATGCATTTAGTCAGAGTACAAGGCCATACCCAGGATTCAACAAAGCCTGGCCTGGGTTGTGTAAAGTCCAGTTTTCACGGTGGTGTGCAAACGCGGTAGAAGAGCGCCCCCTAGCCCCACAAGCAAGTGTGAGTTTACTACAACTTGAGAAAAATAAGAGGCTGCCCACCTTTAACGGCTAACACCACCATGTGGAGGCCTCGTATGTGAACCCTGACTCTGTGGTGTTTGTTATGTGAGGTGAGTCAGGACCCAGCACACACTCCCGGGGGATGAAGCTCTTGGGTGAGTGGCTTTGTGTTTTAGTGTTTCATGGCGGTGTAGCAGGGCAATTGGGATGGAACCAGAGCCTCGACACTATCGCAAGGCTCATTGATTTTCTTTGTTAAGTCCGGAGTGAGACGGACACTACTTTGCACTCTGTCAAGTCCTGTCTTCAGCTAAGGCTTCTTTGTTTTTGCAGGACAGAATTAAAAGAAGAAGGCCCCATATTATCGACGAGACATCATGGCCACTTCTCAGCTCTTTTACTCCATTGAAACCTACAAGGCCGCCAAGGTATTTGTCCGAGACGGAGGAGGAAGATATGGTTTTGTTTAGAATAATGACTCACCTCAGTTTTGAAGTTAGCTGTCTCATCATCAGCTGGCAGGGATGCTCCATTCTGGCTCCTGGTTTCTACCTTCCCTTGGTGCTTCGGGCCCTCCCTAGCTTTCCAGCCTCATCTCCCAAAGCCCCTCTAAGGAAGGTGGTTGCCCGGGTCTGCCCAGCCCCCAAGTGCATTCCTCTGAGAGTCTTTAATCCCCTTGCCTGATAAGGAGCCCTCCCCTCTGCTTTAAATTGCTATCCCCCCTTTAAGCGATCCACACTTCTCGAAGCCTTTACAATACAATGAGCATTTATTAAGTGTCTGCTGTGTGCCAGGCACTGCTAACCTGGGGATCTGTTGTTGTTCACCTGTGTCTGACTCTTTGTGACCCTTTTGGGGTTTTCTTGGCAAAGATACCAGAGTGGTTTACTATTTCCTTCTCCAGTTCATTTTACAGATGAGGAAACTGAGGCAAACAGGGTGAAGTGACTTGCCCAGGGTCACACAGCTAGGAAGTAGCCAAGGCTGGATTTGAATTCAGGAAGACGAGTCTTCCTGACTCCAGGCTGGGGGCTCTATCCCTTGTGCCACCTTCCAGCCCAAACTGGGGATGTGAATAAGAAAAAGAAAGATGGTCCCTGCCCTCAGGGAGCAAATCAAGTGGGGAAGAATCACAATGGAGTTAGAACCAAGCAGTGAGGTTGGTGTAAAATTATCCCCTAAAAGCCATTCTTAATAATCACATCTAAAATTTTTCTAAAAATTGTTGCCCTTAGACTTGAGGCAAGCTGGCATAGGCTATGTCCTGTTTCTCCAGATCACCAGGCTTTCTAGGGCAGCAATGTTATTTTATTCCTCTTTTAACGTTCCTCTTGTAAGGAATCTTAAGAATGTGTCCCCCAGTGCTTTTTAACCTGGTGTGGGCCTGACCCGGAAAGGGAACCTGAGCTCTAGCAGGGTCTGTTAAGACAGAAAGGCTTTGTACGGACCCAGGGAGAGATCCTGTCTGTAATTTGAGGAGTAGCCTGCCCAAGGTTGGAGAGGCCCACCAGCAGGTTCACTGTGAGGTGAGGAATTATCACCTTTGGCCACAAAGATCGTTTCCTAAGTTGTGGAGCTCGGGTACCTTCCCTTCTAAGAAGACCCTTTATTTCCCCTGGGCCCAGATGGCTCTGGAGGAGAAAGGGAGGCTGGTGACTCGGCGCAGCCCTGCCTCACCCTTGCGTGTGGTGGCATCACCTTCCTGAGGTCATGATCCTCTTCCAGAACAAAGGGCAAACAACCATAACAACTTATCTCCTCAGTGCTTAGCTTGTACGTCCCTGTTTGTGGTCTCTCCTTTAGAATATAAGCCCCCTTTGGGCAGGGACTGCTTCTGTCCCCAGCACTGAGTACAGTAAGTGCTTGATAAATGCTTGGTAATTGTTTATGCAGAGGGGCAGCTGTCTTTGACCCGTGGAATTCTGCCCCCTACCCAGAAAGGCAGAAAACAGAGGTATTAAGGCCTCAAGAGCCCCCTCCCACTTTCTCTTGCCTTTTCGATGGCTTAGTTGCCAGCCCTGCAGTCAGTTGGAGTGCCCACTGGAAGCGGTTTGTGGAGGAGACCCTGCCTGCAGTGGGCATAGCCACCTTGCAGACAGTGAATCCCAAGATGCTCTCCTAATTAAGAGTAACGGTTTACACCGGTGAGGAGAGGTAGGGTTCGGCACTGCACTTAGTTTAACATCTTGATTCCTCTCTTATCTGCCCTTTTCTTTTTGACTGCCTCTGGGTGGACTGAAGAAATCCATTGGTCAAAGGCCTACTATCTCTACAACTGATTAATTGAGGGAGAGAGGAAGTGTTCGCCACATTTTATCCTCTGGGATTAGCAGGATCCTGATGTCAATTCATAGTCATTTACGTGGCTCTGGGACAGCGGGCTGGGCCTGGAGCCAGGAAATTGTTGTTGTTATTGTTGAGTTGTGTCTGATTCTTCCTGACCCCCTCTGGGGTTTTCTTGGCAAAGATACTGGAGTGGCTTGCCATTTCCTTTTCCAGTTCATTTTACAGCTGACTAAAGTGAGGCAAACAAGGCTAAGTGACCTGCCCAGGGTCACACAGTTAGTAAACTAAGCCAGATTTGAGTCTTCCTGACTTCTCCACCTAGCTGCCCATTAGTTGGGATCTGGCCTCAGACACTGACTAGCTGTGTGACCCTGGGCAAGTCACTTAACCCTGTTTTTCTCAGTTTCCTCATCTGTAAAATGAACTGGAGAAGGAAAGGGCAAACCACTCCAGTCTCTTTGCCAAGAAAATTCCATGGACAGTATTGGTGTTCGATGGTCCATGGGGTCATGTAGAGTCAGACAAGACTGAGCAGCAACAGCTCTCTCAATGAAAGGTTTGTGATGATGATCACGATGTCTTGGAAAATCCACCCTTGTCCCCTAAATACTGAGACTGTTCTGACAGAAGTAAGGTTTGGGCCTGAATTATGGAGAGGATAATCAGCTCAGCCCTTTCATTTTGATTGGCTGTGGAATTCTGGCCTGATACTTTTTTTCTTTTTGGGGGAGCCCCTTTTCCTTCCCTTCCCTTCTTCCAAACAGGATCTGATGCTTTTATGTCCTGAGACATCTTTCCCCTTTACTGTCTAGATTTACTGTGTGCTGATCTTTCAAAATGTTCGTCTTTGCCATTTTTTCCCCTCCAGGAAACAGCTCTGTTCCCAGTTCAGATCACCACTGAGCATGAATCTCTGGTGTTGGTGAAGAAGCTCCTAGCCACTTCTATCTCGTGTATCACATACCTGCGGGGGCTGTTTCCAGAGAGTTCTTATGGAACCCGCTACTTAGATGGTAAAGCTCAAATCAGTGATTAATTCCCATATCTTCATTCTTGGCCCTGCTTAGTGGTAGCAGCTACCATTTCTTAGTCACCAAAGGGTTAAGCCCCAGGCCTGTGCCAGCTCTTCATGACTGATTTGTTCATTTACATACCTCTTTAATTTAACTATCCCAGATTCAATAGTTTTACCACTAGGTGCCATTAGTTCCTGGCTTGATACCAAATGGCAGATGAAGCAGCCAATAAATCTCTGTGAGCGAGTCTAGGACCTCTGGGGTTTATCTGCAGAGGCAACAGCAGCTGGGGTAAAGGCCATTTGAGGCTTAGTGTTTTGAATGCTCCATCAGGGCAGTCTTTTGGTCTCGAAAATGAAATTGTACTTGAAGTGCTTTCTAACATTAATTGGGTATGGTGGCAAAGCCCATTTTGCCTGTTCAGAGTCGCTCAGAAAATATATACATACTTCTGCCAAACCCGAGTCAGTCCCATCACTGAAATTTTAGCAATTTAAATCACTAAAGACCAGTTTTAACGATGCATCCATGGAATGGAGGCAACCTTGGGTTCTCAAACCCTAGGCCAACAGGGAAGCTCTGGAAGGTTCTACTCAAACGAGATAGTGCACATACAGGGTTTTGCAAACTTTAAAGTGTTGTCTCCATGCCAGTGATGATGGCGGTGATGATAGAACTGTAGATGGGCCCAGTGACAGGGCTGGTGTCCAAGGACCAGTCTAGGTAAGTTTGGAGAGCTTTGTTGCTAGCATGGCTTCAGGGAGATTACTTTTTGATTTAGTTTTCAGATACTATCTACTGAGTCATAAAGGGGTTGCAATCTGTGTTGGTGGAAGGAATACCCAATCTGTGATGAGATTGTGATTCCTTGAAGAATTAAAGTATTTTGGCAACTGTCAGTTTTATCCTCCTCTCAACTGGCAGATTTCTTCATTTATACAGTCTAAGCTTTGTCTGTTTTTCATACCTTTATTAATTTTTTTGTCATCATGTTCTTAGATTGTTTCTGTTTTTCTTTCCCTTCCATTTTTGAAATTCCTTCTGGGCATTCTATTTTTATCTCCTCCTTTCAGGTGGTGAGACTTTTTTACATTTGAGCAGAAAGCTGGTTTAGAACAGCAGTCATTTGGAAAACTTTCTGCTGACTTTTAATTAAACTAGTGACAACTATTTGAAAAATATAGGTAGAATTCTCTAAATTTCTTCTTTTGGTGTTACTTTTCCCGATCCATCTTTATACTAAATTTCTTAATTCCAAATTTAATGATTTGCTTTGGTTTCTTCCTCATTTCATTTCATTCTTAACACTCTTCCTTTCTAAATTGTGTTTGATACTAACTCACCCTGAAATTCATATCCTGGAGACAAGGAAACTGTAAAGATCAATGACACTGCTCATTTAAAAATGCTTCTGTGGTGTACAGTCATTGCCGTTATAGTTTGAGAAATGCTTCCTCGTATTGTTAAACAGCAATAGAGCTGTTAGTAACAACAGTAATTGACATTTACCTAGCACCTTTATATCGTGTAGAGCATGTCAGATGATTTTCATGACTGCCCCAGAGGTAGATACTGTAGACATTGTCATCCTGATTTTACAGATGACGAGTGTTAGGCTCAGAGAGAGTAGGTCACTCGTCTGTGGTCACACAGCCAGAAAATGTCATTGATGGAAATGGAACCTAGCATGGCCTGCCTCTCCGTCCTGTAGTCTGTTCTACTCTGCTGTGTCGCCTCTTTTTATAATTGTGAATTTCTCCCACCAGCAAAATCTAAGGCTTCCTCTAATGATTGTGTTGCTTGGACGTGTCTTTCCTTTTTAACAACGCTAAAGAATTACAAACTGTCAGTATGAAGGAACTTGAGGGGTCATGTACCCAGGGTCTGAATACTTGCTACAACATAACATCATGGGAATAAGAGCTGGTGGGGAGAGACTTTAAATATTGCTTGATCCAAACCCCTTGTTTTACATTTAGGGAAATGAGATACAAGAGTTTAATTGCCATGGCCAGGGTTGATCATCCATTCTATGGGACAGAGCTTCCTGTGAAAGAGAGCTGACTTTGTTAAGAGACAGCCCGTTCCCCTTTTTCAAGAGCTAGACTTGTTAGAAAGTATTGAGCACAAACTGGCTCCTTTCTCACTTTCACTCACTAGTTTTGTGCTCTGGAGCTCTAGAGAAACAATTTAATTCCTTTTCTACAGGTTAAACCCTTTGATTTTTTTGAAATTAGATATCAGAACCCTTCCAAATTTCTTTTCTTCACTAAAAAGCACCTTAGAAATACTCTCTGTTAGACTCATCCAAAATTGGAAGAGGCTAACTGGAGAGGCAGTGAGCTCCCCTTTTCTGGAGATGACCGTCACATGTCGAGTATGTCTTAGTGACTGTAAGATCCTTGAGAACAGCAATGTCTTACTTTTGTATTTGTGCCTGCGTTGCCTGCCCTCTAGTGGCTGCTTAATAAAATGCTTCTTGGTTGATTGATTTTTCAGATAGCTGTTGACTAGTTAAAGCTCTGCAATGTTTTCCATACATGGTTTCAGTTGGTCCTTTTAACCACGGCTGAGGTAGATAGTGCAGATGTTCATGTGTCTCTGCTATTTACTGAGCATTATTTTAACTAAGCAGTATAATGGTGATGCTGAGCAGTTACTTAAGAAAGCTGGTGTAGGGTCTCTGTCCCCAAGCGTACTTAGATTAGAAGCATGCTTACTGTGCATTGAAATCACTCCCCTTCTGGGAATCCCTAAATGCTTTTCACATCTCTCCTGAGATATAGAGCTGGCCTCTTCTTCATTTTAAAGATGGGAACAGAGATGTATGAAATGGTAAAATGACTCATGTGAATCAGTGATGGATTTGGGCCCTAGTTTTGACTCCTGACTCCCTAATATAGACACTAAGTCAAAATTCTCTTTAATTGGACCCCTTTGTTTTTCTCTAAGTACAGAAAGCTATTTGTACTTCCCCTGATGAAATCAGAGTTTTGAGAATAATTAATGGGAGTTTTCTCCACTTTTTCCTCTTTTTATCTCTTCCTTTTAAAAAAAATTGGTTCAGGAAAGGAAAATGGGAAAATGGGGATAAATGTTATCAGTGTTTTGAACTGGTGAATCACAGAATGGTAAGAACTAGAGGGAACCTTAAAAGGCATCTATGCCAGCCACTTCATTTTACAAGTGAGGAAGCCAAGATCCATGCAGACAGTCTTTTCATATTCGTTCCCTGTAGGGAATCCTTTAGAATTCAGCAAAAGTACAGAAATTCCTTTTGCAAGTCAGCTTAGGTACTGCTGAGCTACAGAGAAAGCAGGGAGGGAAGGAAAAAAAAAAACAAACCATGATCCAAATTGGAAGCAAGGTACATGTCAGCTCACCATAATTTCTTTCAAAAATAGATATTGAGGGTTAACATATTTTTTTAATGTAACCATTCTGCCAGAGGCTTCTTCCTAACATGAACTTATGCTTTGGGTACCTCTCATTTCTCTCTGTCTCTGGCACTTCCCAAAGGATGGCCATCAGCTCCCCTTAGAAGCACGCAGGCTCAGAAGGCATCAAATGCAGAATGAGCATTATGTGCACAGCGAAGCCATTCCCCTCCAAAAGATTTTGAGTTCTAAATTTTCTCCCTTCTTCTCCCTAAGATGGCATGCAATCTGATATACACTTTCTCTATATGTTCACATTAAACAGTTTCACCTTAGTCATGTTGTAAAGAAGAATCAGAACCAATGGGAGGAATCATAAGAAAGAAGAAACAAAATGAAAGAAAATAAGAGCAAATAGTCTGCTTCCATGTGCATTCAGACTCCATAGTTCTTTCTCTGGATGTGGATAGCATTTTTCTTTGTGAGTCTTTTGGAGGTGTCTTAGATCCTTGCATTGCTGAGAGGAGCTAAATCTATCAAAGTCAGTCATCACACAATGTGATTGTGTACAATGTTCTCCTGGTTCTGCTCACTTCACTCAGCATCAGACCATATAAGTCTTTCCAGGTTTTCCTGAAGTCCACCTGCTCATCATTTCTTAAAGCACAATGGTATTCCATTACATTCACATACCATAACTTGTTCAGCCATTTCCCAATGGATGGACATCCCCTCAGTTTCCAATTCTTGGCCGCCACAGAAAGAGCTGCTATAAATATTTTTGTACATGTGGGTCCTTTTCCCATTTTTATGATCTCTTTGGGATACAGACTGTTCCTAGGTTTTCTTCCATCAATACGCCATCGTCCTCTTCAGTTTTTCTTTTCTCACTCCTTGCTGAGTTGGGATCTCTCCTTGGGGATGTGTTCCACTTCTATCAAGATGAAATAAACAGGACTGGTGTGCCTCTGGGCAGTTTGACACCTTCTAGCTCCTTCAGGCCTGGTTAGGACCCTTTCAGACTAGTGTTCTTTCAAGCAAGTCCCATAATCCTCACCTTTCACACCAGCTGTATCCTCAAGCAGCTATGAACAGGATGCTTGATCACATTTCCCCGTTTTCCTTCCTGTCGGTTAGGATGAGTCTGCCCATATTTTCCCTCTCTTCCCAGCTCCTGTGGCCAAGTGTCTCTGGCTCACTCAGCATGTCCTGCTGAGTCTTGTGGGCTTGGGGGCCCCTCTTTATGCCCTCTCCTGCTTGTCTTCCCATTTCCCATCTTCCTCCGCAGTAGCTGGGGCAGCCTGTGCTGGGAGAAAGCACTGGGAGCCAATTGAGAGTGGCTGCTCCCTGCACAGACACGTGAGACACCCAACTGGAAGAGGTGACTGCCATCCATGGTCATGGAGATGTGTGTCCCCACCATATTCCTGAATGGTGAAGTGAAATACATAATGTAAACAGAGCAATTGAGGTCGTATGATGTCACGGCAAAAAACATGGGGCTGGGCAGCAGAAGACCAGCTTTAAATCTGGGCTCCTGCCACTTGGTTACTGTGTGGCCTTGGGAGAGTCACTTATTTTCTCTTGGCCTCAGTTTATTCATCAGTGAAATGACATAGTTATACTACATAATGTCAAAGGTCCCTTCCAGCTCACGTATTGCATGAATCTATGAATTAGGAGAGAAGATAGCTAATTGTAGCTTGGGTAATTTAATTAAAACAGGGATGCAATTCAAGTCCATAATGTCTTCTTTTTATAGACCTCAGTTTAAAAATCCTTCGAGAAGATAAGAAATGCCCTGGATCTCTGCAGATTATCAAATGGTAAGTAGCTCAAATTCAAATGAGCTGAACAACAACATTTTTATCATGTATCAGATAACTGACTAGGTTTTAAATGCTTAGATTAGAAAAAGAAATAGCATTGCAAATACATATTTAATAGCATTGTCTCATATTTTAGGATAGACATCTGTGGAAAATGATCCAATAATCCTATTTTCCAATGTTATAAGAAAAAAAATTATTTGTATCAAGAGGAAAGCGAAAAGTCAACCAAATGGAGTCCAGGACGTGATCCCTGACTCCCGAGCTAATGCTGTCTCTCACTCATAGAGCTTTATTGATGTGTCACGACATTCGTGACGGTCTTGGATAGTGATTGATTATCCAAGGAGTTATTGATTTGTAGCTGCTTCAGTCTAATAAATGCAAATAGAAACTTCTCTTCTTGGCGGGTCTTTTTTTTTTTTTTGCTTTGAGACTGACCCATTTTAACGTTGACCATTTATTTCTTGGCAGGATTCAAGGTTGTTTTGATGCTTTGGAAAAGAAATATGTAAGTTTTTTTAAAGATTTCTATTATGATCAAAGGCCCATCTTTTATCTCTTTTCCAACTAGAATGATAACAAAGATTAGACCCGGGATCTGTGCCTGAATTTACATTCATAGGCCAGTTTCCTTTCCAGTTGCTGGCATTAACTACTCACTTAGGTTTTAAGACTACTTTGTCTCACTGATGTCTTTACTTGACATCACTCAGAAATCCAATGCTCTTTTTCTCTTTCATAAACTGTGGCCCTCTCATGACCACAGAGTTTCCTTTGAAGTCATTGGAAGAGGTCCACAGGATGTGAAACTGAGGAGACAAGAATCTGGAACTTAGCATTTTGAATATACTCAGAATTGTACAGATTTAACTTGAAGATAAGAAAGGAAAATTTGCCCTGTGGAGGCTGTTTGTGTCTTAGTTGTGCTGGCAACCAGTATTGGTGCCTACGTACACTGAAAATTACTTCTTCAAGGCTCCTATTCAACATGGAAGAACATTCATTTTTCTGGAGAGCCAATAAGCCTATTTTACATATCTACTCTGAATGAAACAGGCACGGAGGATGATCCCAGGATACATAAGGCATAGTCCTGCCCCTTAAGAAATTTGTAATTAAGTAGGGGGGGAGGTAAAATATATCCACGCATAACTGCAATAGCAGATAGAACCTAAATGCTCATTTCTGTTGACGACTGTCCAGGTAAATGAATAGCTCAGGCGTTGGAAATGGTCTGAGCGGAATCAGATTCAGGAAGCTAGGCCTCAGAAGGGGGAAAGAGTGTAGGCTGCCAGATGTTCAGGGATCACAAATAGGGGTATGTAGTGTGACTTAAGGGTGCTTTGAACCAGACTGTGGAGGGCATTGAATGAGAGACTAAGGAGTCTGGATTTTGATAAGCAGTAGGATCGGGTCTATTGGACATTAGGAATCTGACAGCTCTGTGAATGGCTAATTAGGAAGGGACCTACTAGAGTTGGGAACCATGGCCAGGACGCTATTGCAGTTATTCTCGGTGGCAGTGGGAATGAAGATAAGAGGACTGATATATTGTTGCGGTAAAATAGACAAGGCATTTGACTGGATGTAGGGAGGGAGAGGTCAAGGAAGAGAGAATGAGCTTAAACGACCTGAGAATGGTGGCTACATTACAATAGGGAAATTGGCAGGGGGAAGACAAGAGCAGGCTTTTTTTGTGGGGAGATGAGTTCAGTCTTGGACGTAAAGAGTTCGAGGTGGCAGCAGAAAACTAGTGAAAAAGATACATGAGACATAGTCCTGCCGGAAAGCGCATACTATCTAGTCAGGCCGGCGAGTCTGATAGGCGGTAAGCTCAGGGCCCACTTTGCTCTTTTTCCTTCTCTGTAATTCCCTCTCCATCTCTGCTTTCTCATTTGTGTCCTCCTTCATTTGATGTCAGTTCCAGAAACCTCTTGAGTGAGTAAATCTTAAGCCAATTGAATTGTCATGAATCAGAGAGACAGTTGGCAACAGTCTGGAATGGCAAGGACAGGGATGAGGAACCTCTGGTCTTGAGGCCACATGTGGCCTCAAGATTTGTGCTGTAAAATTTGGATTCAGTCAAAAGGCTGCACATAAGAATCTAGAAGGCCACATGGGGCCTCAAGGTGGCAGCTTTCACCCCTGACCAAGAACTTCCTTTTGAGTCCGTGTCCACACGTAGCTAATGGATGGACTGCTTGAGTAAATTCACTAGGATGGTCTGTGGCCGTCAGTCAGCAAGTATTCACTAAGGACCTACTAGGTGCTAGGTACTGGGGATGTGAAGATGATGAAAGAAACCATTCCCACTCACAAGGAGCATCCATTCGAGGCTGTGGATCCTGGAATATACCATGTGTATTATATACACATACACACATTCAGGGTGTCCCAAAAGTCTCGGTGTGGTTCTAAGCATTAATAGCTTATTTACCTATTTTATATGTGTGTGTGTGTATACACCCAATAAACATGCAGAGAATTAATACAAATAAATCCGAGGTAGTAGTTTGGGAAGTGGGGCACTAGCAGTTGGAGGGATCAGGAAAGGCTTCAAAAAGATGACGATGGTGCATCTTAAAGAAAGAGAGGGCCTCAGTGGGGTGGATGTGAGCAGGGAGGGCATTCCAGGCATGGGGGATGGCCAGTGCAAAGGTACAGAGGCTGGAGATGGATGATCTGGTATGGGAAATAGAGAGGCTACTTTGGCCGAATCCAGAGTGTAGGAGAGGGAGTGATGTCTAAAAAAAGACGGAAAAATAGATTGGGGCAAGATGGTCAAGGGCTTTAAAAACTAAATAGAGGCATCTCTAGGATCCTAGGGGAGACAAGGAGCCACAGGAGCTTAGAGAGGCCTAGGGGGTGTGCAACAAGGTTATGTTTGCACTTTGGGAAAACTCTGGACACGAGTGGGGAAAGGCTGGGGGCAACTGGGAGAAGAGTCAGGAAGGGGAGTGATAATCTGGGTGCAAGAGGCAGGGAGGGCCTGGAGGAAGATGGTCATGGGTGATGGAGAGAAGGGCTAGAAATTTTTGTTTGTTTTTTGTTTTTGTTTTTTGTGCTAGGCAATGGGGTTAAGTGACTTGCCCAGGGACACATAGCTCTTGAGTGTTATGTGTCTGAGGTCAGGTCCTCCTGAATCCAGGGCTGGTACTCTATCCACTGTGCCACCTAGCTGCTCCGAGAAGGTAGAAATTTGACTGACTTGTTTTACTGAATCAACTGATTGTTTGATTGAAACATGCTGCTATGGCATGCTGCCTCTGTTTACTATTTAATACAGAGTGAATACCTCAAAACTTTAAAAATATGTTCTTTTAGAAAACAGTTACTCTTTTGAGGGGGTTGTGTCGTGTTTATAAAGCTCACACAGTAAGTGCCGGAGAACCCTTAGAGAGCATTTTATCAAAGAGCTCTGTGCAGTTACCTCACTTGCACCTAAGAGCCAGTTCTGTTTTCTCCTGAAGTGTGATAGGCCCACGGAGCTGCCTCCAGTAAAGCCCCATATCATGGTGTTTGGAGCTGTGGGCTTTAGTCACTGACATGCAGTTATCAGACTAGCCACGCTGTGTCGCTAACGGTCCATCGATAGCTACATGGGGTCAAGCCGTCGATTTTGGAATGGTTTAGAGCTTGGTTTTGTGCTCTGCATTACCATACAAGTGTTTACTACTTTGGAATTTCTGTGCTTGTCCAAGTAGAGTGGTACTGGTCCTCACATTGGTGCTGAATGGGCAAATGCCCTGGATTTCAGTTAGGGAAGATCTGGCCTCAGAAGTGGCCTTAGGCAAGCCAATGCCTCTCTGCCACCTTTCTCCTCATCTGCAAAGTGAATGAGTTAAACTCATTGCTTTCCTGCACTAGCTCTATGATCCTACGAATGAAAACAACCTCATTTATTTAGTTCACCCTATGTGCCAGATGTGGTGCTAAGTAAGGACACAAATACAAAAAGTGGGACAGCCTCTGCCGGCCCTCAAGGACCTTATTTTCTAACAGGGGAGGATAGCATACCTAGGGGAGGGAGGGGTGGGCTTTGGGCCTAAGAAGCCACCCAGATGAATGGTGAGTGACTGACCTGCTCTTTCCAGGAAGGGTGGCATCGACTTGATTATTATTCTCAGGGACAGAGGTGGTAAACTGGGGGCAGAGGGTATTGGGGAGGTGGCTGGAGTGTGGCTCCCTGGCTCTGGAGCTCCCAGATGTGGCAACTGTCCCCAGTGAGGATTTCAGGGCTCCAGAGAAGGAGCTTGAGAACAGGGCATGAGCAACATTCAGACTGTAAGCGAAGGGTAGCAGATCAGGCTTTTATTCTATTCTGTAGACTCACTTCCTAGCTGAATCTGTGTAAAAAGCAATGGTGTGGTGCCCCCCCATTGTCATTTCTGGAGGGCCTAGGCTGTGCACCCTCTAGTTATTTAATATATGTGTTTTGAATGAAGAAGTGAATGAGCAGCATAGGGACTGTCTTTTGCTTTTCTTTGTATCCCCAGCGCTTAGCACAGTGCCTGGCATATAGTTGGTGTTTAATAAATGCGTGCTGCCTGCCTCTCAAGCCTTTGGATCACCTCAAGAGCCATATTTAATTGAACTAAGTTATTTATCTATGTCCATACTAACTATGAACACGTAGATGTGTACTAACAATCATTTTCTTTTCTCATGCAGCTTCACATGGCAGCACTTGCAGTAAGTAAATGTTTCAGAACCCACATCCCCCCCCTTCCCTATTCTTTGGAAGAGTGAGACGTGATCCTTTTGTGTTTCAAAGTGTATTTACAAGAACTATAAAAACATGTTAGCTTCCCTCAGTTGTTGCTAGGGACCCATCCTCATGATTACCTTGTGAACTTAAAATTCAATTGCAGAAGTTTTGTTGACTTTTCTTTGGAAATGGCAAAATTGTGTATGTGGTTGAGAATGGGGAGGAATCTGAGAGGTTCCCCTTAACGTCTTAAGGTCCTGTCTAGCTGAAAGACTCCAAGTACAGACCAGTTAGATCAGAGGAGCCACTGAGCTCAGTTCAAAGAGACAGGCGCATCACTAGAGTGCATTCTTCTGGAGTGAGAAACTGTTTGGGAGGCGACTCTTGGAGAAGGTGGACCAAGACATAAAGGAAGGGCTTGAAACCTACATCAGCAAAACCAATGGATATTGATGGAGAGCCATTATGTAACCAAATTCAATCCCCACCTTAATATAGTACAAATAAACCCTTCCAGGTCCATAGTCAATGTAGGCACAATAGTATGTTAAAAAATCAATTAAATTTTGCTTTTTATTAAAACAGATTTATACAAATCCCAAGGAGCCAGAGGTAAGAAGAAAAAAACATATGTAAAGTATATTTCCTTAAATATGCTTAACTTCAGTTTGAAACATATGTTTCTAGTATTTGACATAGTGTTTGGCCATAGTAAGTGCTTAGTAATTGCTTGTTGATTAATTGAATTTACATGTTGTTTTCGTCCAATCGAATGTAAACTTCTGGAAGCCAAAGAGTTATTTTTTTGGCCTTTTTATTTCTGGAGTTTACTACTAGCTCCTTGAAAGTAACAGGTGCTTAATTAATGCTTGTTCAATTGGATTAGATTGGATTTAATTCCCCTACCACATAATCATCTGAGATATTATGGTATCCTTTATTATGTAGACTTGGCTCATGTCGGTGCTTGGATAAGAGATATCAAAAAATGAAAACCAAATCCTAAAAGCTGTTAGAAAACCATACCACATTGATATGAAGGGATATTTGTAATGTTGGAGGTGACATTTTTAAATTTCAAAGGTTGAAATATCTTATGGTTACATGATTTCATTTGTTAAAAGAATGAAAGTGTTGACACGGGTGTTCTGCTGTAAATTCAAATTGATTGCTTCCTTACTGGCTAAAGGACCTCCTTTTTTCTGCCATCTTTTCTTCAAAAAAAAGTTTTATTTTTGGTCTTTTCCCCCATGCCAGTTGTTTCCTTTTATAGTTCTGCCCTCACATTGAACCTTCCCTTGTAACAAAGAAAACTAATAGAGGAAAGTCAGCTGGCAAAGGGAGTGTTTGACAGCATTCTGCACCCATAGTTCCCCATCTCCATCCTGAGAGGAGGGAAGTAGGTTTTCTCATCTGTTCTGCAGGATGAAGGTCATTCCTTGTAATTCACCAGAATTTTGGCTTTCCTTTAATGTCGTCTCAGTTTTACATTGTCGTCATCGTCTGTGCTGGTCTCAATATTTTGTTTTCTTTGCTCTGCATTAGTTCTTGTAAGCCATCCCATGATTCTCTCGATGCTTTATATTGGCCATTTCTTACAGTACAATAATATTCCATTAATTTCATATGGCAAAATTTGCATTTCATTTTTTTTCAGCCATCTTCCGCCCAGTGGGCCCTCGATTTACTTCCAGTTTTTGATGCCTTCTCCTTCCCCCCACTCTGAAAAAAAAAGTGCCGTTACAAATATCTTGGTATATATATGTGGCCTTTCTGTCTTTGACCTCCTTGCGTTTTACATGGTAGGAAGGTTGCCGGATCAAAGGGAATGAACGATTGCACTTTTCTTAGACACAGCTGGTGGCGCAGTGGATTGAGCACTGGTCCTGGAGTCTGGAAGACCTGAGTTCAAATGTAGACTCAAACACTTACTAGCTGTGTGACCCTAGGCAAGTCACTTAACCTCTGTCTGCCTAGTGAGGATCAAATGAGATCATATTTGTCAGGTGCTTAGTGTGGGCCCAGCGCATAGTAGGTGTTTTTATAAATGATTATTCCCTTCCCCTTCTTGCATGATTCCAAGTTGTTTTCCAAAAAGTTTGGTTCAATTAATTCAACACTCCATAGACAAAATGTTAATATGCCTATCTTCCCACTCCTTTTCCCCCACCCCCCAACACACACTGATGGTTTCCATCTTTTCCTGTCTTTGCCAGACGGTTGGCTTGGTAGAGGGGATAGAGGGTCACTGGGGAGTTATGAAGAGCTAGATTAAAGTCCTGCCTTTGACACATACCAGCTGTGTGCCCTGAGCAAGTCCATTCACATCTGAGCTCCCCAGGCAGCTCTCAAAGCCTACAGATCATTTTCCTAGGAGCTGCTTTCCAGCCACGTCTCCCTACCCCATCTTGGGTTTGGGAAGGAGATTGCTTTGAGTCCCTGTGGGGGCTCTCCAGATTCCACTTATTGAAGGTCCAGCCTGTTGAGGCTTTTGCGGATCCTCGAGCTGCCATGCAGGGGTGGTGTTAGCTAGCCCTGCCAGCTTGGTGTTAGCCTCCAACTGGAAAAGCGTGCCATCTCGTCAAGTCATTGATGGTCATCGGGAACAGCAGCCCAGAGCTGAGCCCTGGGTCTGTGAGATGATGTGCAGGAGCTGTGGCAGGGGAAAAATTGATTTGCCCAGGCATGGGCATCCAAGATGCACAAACCAGTTTGACCCCTTTCTACCTTTATTTGTAGATGAATTTCACAAGTTTTGTTTTTGCAGTTTTGAGGGTTTTGAGGTTTTCCAGGCCAAAATTTTCTGATTGTCTGTCACTGAGTCAGGCAGTGGTTTCCTTCAGCAGTGGTTATCATGTGTCTAACACATGATAGGTGCTTGGTTTAAAACCGGGGAACTGGGGTACTGAAATGTTGAGTTAATAATGGTGAAGAACTAAAGGAAAATCTTATAAAACAGGCAGAAAATATCAAGTGAGGGGGCAATACAGAGTGATGCCTGGAAAAGGGGGCCCAACCATTGTTATAATGGAATGTGGTGGAAACTCTCACTTATATCCCAGGAAAAGTATTTGGGAGTCATTGGAGATGGTACTTTAAAGACATCAACTCAGTGAGCCCTTGTAGTAAATTACCCCTGCCCCCATGAGTAGCAACTCATATAAGCAAGATTTTAATTAGTCAGAGACACTAAAGCATAATTGGTGGGGAACCAGAAAAGGAACGCAGGAGATACAATGCCACTTTCTCTTCTCAGACTAAGGTTGTAATGTGCTCAGACCAATAGACATTGGTGTTCCCTTGATCCTGGTCTACCATTCCTAGCTAGCCTTCACACTGTTAAGAAATTGGGGAATATGGAAATTCTTTCAGTAGAGATAGGGCGTATTGAAAGTATTAGAGTGTCTGATTGAAGCAAATATTTATCTCCCAAAATTTGATGCTGTCTGTCCACAAAATTTATGGTATTAAGGGAGGTAGGAATAGAATACATGAAACATTCCTGGGCCCAACCCAACAGTCTGCCTCTGACAACAGTCAAGAAAAACCTCCAGCTTCCTGTTATCTGTTTTCTCACCTCCGCAAGGCTGGCACCTCAAATGTCAGAAAGTATTATTTCTGAATCATAATACTATGAAACAAACAAAAAAGTAAGAAAACTTAGCCAACTGTCATGGGAAATAGTCAATCGATAATCTATCAACGAGTATTTATTAAGTACCTATTGTGATTTATGCTAGGTGATGGAGAAACAAGTGCAAAAAATGAAGTTGATCCCTAGTTGCAGAGACCTTACATTCTAATGAAAAGACACGTACCTCCATGGATTTGGGATGTTATCAGTTTCATTGCTGAAATGTTGCACATCCACGCCTGCCTCACCTGGGTGACTCTTGGCCGTGTTCTCCCATAAACCCACCGCAGAGCAGGAAGCCTTCCTCTAGAGCAGGGGTTTTTAACTTGGGGATCTGTGAGCTTGGGTTTTGGTTTTTTTTTAAATATTTCTATAATGGTGTTTCAATATAGTTGGTATCTTTGGTTTCTGCAGATGTTTTCTGAAACAATCTGTTCTTCTGTTTTCTTTGACATTTCTAGAAAGTCACAGAGTTATATCAGTTCAAATTCCGATACACAAAGGAAGGACCCAGAATGGATTTTGTCAGGTAGACCCTCATTTTAACCATTTAATTTAAATAATTGTAATCAGACTCAAATACCCTCATTCTCGGAAGGGTTGACCTCTGGCAGGGATGGATGCGATCCAGGAGAGCCATTTTCTCTTTGCATCCTCCAGTGTTTCGTCCCGTCATGGTTCTTGAAGATTCTGCCCACAGGGCACAAGCAGGGACAGGTGCTGTCAAGTTGGTGGTGGAGGTTTCATTCACAGCCGTTCCAAAAGGCCATCTGAGTTAGAGGGGAGTTTCAGTGTAAGTGGAGGGGGTACCCACAGACGTGCAATCGAACATCCTTATGGAGCAGGGCCCTCCACCCGAAGCTTCCAGGGGATTGCCTGACCCAAGAGACGACTCTGGGCATGCTCCGTGGGGAAGGGAAGGATATGGCTACCACTACATCGGAGATCCCAGAGTCAAGTAAGGAGCAGATGTAGTTGATGCAGGTGGAGGCTCTTTGAGAACAAGGGACAAGTTACACCCTTCTTTTTTTACTCCCACAGTGCATTCAGAAGTACTGTGAACACATTGTAGGCATTCAATAACATAATTGTTTAACTGTGTTGATATATAACAAAAACACTTACTCACCAATAACTGTTTAGATTTTATACTTGGAGAAATCTGTGATCTCATCATCTACTTCCTCTGCTTGTGTAGATTCTTTCCCACAAATCACAGGATCTGGGCATCTCAGAATTGGAAGGCGTGTTGAGGCCATGTAGACCAACTTGGATGTATTGGGACACTCTCAATGTGCCATAAACTTTCCTCTCTTTCTTTAAGTGTTCATCGATAACAGAAGCGGGTTAGCAGAGATTGCACGCTGGTCAGGGCTGTTTTAGAAAGATCTTTCCAAGGGCGCCTTCCAACCCTGGAGTTCTCTGGTTCTCTGAGCTTATGCTGACATAATCGGGGAAGCAGTAGTACTCAAACTTGATGGTGAAGGGAAAATTAGGGCTTACTGGTAATTTTCTAGAAACCAAGGCTGTAATTTGAATTAGGTAGTTACTTGTTTGCATTTTCATTATCGGCTCTTCCATTAGAATATATAATTCTCTCAGCAGAGAAATGCAGTGAAGATCTGGCCTCTATCTTCCTTTCTTAGTGGTACTGGAGGTGCGCAGTGGGTCACAGATGCAACCTTCTCAGGCTGCCAAGGTTCACATCGGTGGCCCCTGATACATGGAGTTCCATATTTGTTGTTGTGACTCTTGAATCCTGGGGCCCCGGATTCCCAGCCTGAGGTTCTTTCCGCTTGACCACAGTCATTCCTACACTACAATGGACCTTAGGACTTCACCAGCCTGGGACTCCTTCCAACAGTATAGATTACAATCCAGCCCATCCTGTGGGGCCCTGGCCCACATCTTCCCATCAACACCCACCACGGCATATACTTTCAGTAGGAACCTCGATGGAACATATAAATAAAATATTCAAAAATCAAGTTATATTTCAAATATGTAAGGGTCCTTGCTATTTAAAATAAGTTGAGTCAGTAAATTTTTATTAATGCCTACTATGTGCTAGGCATTCTGCTAAGTGTATAAGTATATATATAAGTATGTAAGTGTGTAAGTATAAGGATACAAATGTAAAAAAGAAAGACCATTTCTGCCCTCGAGGAGCTTACACTCTAAGGAGGGAAGACCGCACACAAAAGAAAACTGAAAAGGTGGGAGGTGGGTGTTGTACAGAAGTCGAAGAAATCCAAAATGAGGGCAGCTGGGTGGGAAAGGAGGGGAAGTCAGTCCTAATCCTTTTTTAAAGCAAAAAAATCCCCCCAAAAGAGAATAATTACCTCAATATTGCTTTTTAAAAATCTCACTATCTTATTTATAAGTACTCTGTCCCATAGCAAAAATGACTTCCTCTTGGAAGTGAATGCCAGCATTTCCTGTTTCTGAGAATCACCCCCTTGCTGTACTGCTCTGATTGTAGTACTGCTACCAGCTTTGAGAGGGTGACAACCAGCGAGGAGATCAAGAAAGCCAGTGTCCTCCTCATCCGCAAGTTGTACGTCTTAATGCAGAATCTTGGCCCTCTTCCCAATGACATCACACTGACCATGAAACTCTACTACTACAATGAGGGTAGGCAGTTTCCTTTCCTGGGAAGTTTTGTAGTCAGATATGAGGGGTCTGGCACAGCATCCTGGAGATTAAGGCCAGTGACTCTGTTGCAGCTCACCCTTGCTCCACTGATTGTTTTCTCATTTCACTTTGCAGTAACACCCAATGAGTACCAGCCCCCTGGTTTCAAGGAAGGGGAAAGTGCCCAGAGCCTTCTGTTTGAGGGAGATCCCGTCAGCCTGAAGTTAGGCTTCGTTTCCACCAATTTTCACAGTATCAAAGTGAAAATCATGACTGAGAGCCAGAGGATGATGAATCTGGGCAGCAATCTGCTTCAGGAGAATAGCATCACCGAAATCTCCCATCAAGGCCTCGACTGTGATGAAGAGGAAGAGGAAGGCAGCATTAATGTAAGAAAAGGCTTAAGAAGCTTCCTTTACCTCAGTTCCTTCCATTTGCCAAATATGTACAAATGCTGTGGTCCCATGCCAGGATCTACAGAGGGTGCCAAGGAAAAAAAGTAGAACAGACGCAATTCCTGGCCTCAAGGAGTGTGCAGTCCAATTTTTAAAAGGCAGTTTCGTTAAGAGAGAAGTGCAGTTGGAACTATATCAGATTGTTCATGTGTATAAAAAGCCTTTAGATATGTTTCTTTAATTAGATATCTTCACTAGAAGTGAAACTTTTAAATTATTTTTCAAAATTTCATTTATAACTGGCAGATTTACAGTTCTGCCTTCATGAACATAGAGAATGAATTCCTTTTGCATTAAGAGGATTTCAGATCAGATGTGACAGAGACTTTTCAGGCTTCTCAGGTTGGGAGACATGGGAAGAGGCCTGGGATTCTCTTTTCAGGAGACTTTTAAGAATAGTCAGGCAGTTAGTAACATTTCCTTAGCTCTTACTATATGCCAAGCACTGTGTTAAGACAAAGAACATGCAAACAGCTATGTATGAACAAGCAATATACAGCATTAGTTTTTTTTAATAATTTTTCTTTTCTCTTTCTTTTTTTCTTAATCAATTAATTAATTAATTTTAGGCAATTGGGGTTAAGTGACTTGCCCAGGGTCACACAGCTGGTAAGTGTCTGAGGTCAGATTTGAACTCAGGTCCTTCTGACTCCAGGGCTGGTACTCTATCTAGCTGCCCCAATATACAGCATTTTTGTTCAGTTGTTTCTGACCCTTTGTGACCCTATTTGGGGTTTTCTTGACAGAGATACTGGAATTATTTGCCATTTCCTTCTCCAGCTCATTTGACAGATGAGGAAATTGAGGCGAACAGGGTTAAGTGACTTGCCCAGAGTAACACAGCTAGTAAATGTCTGAGGCCAGATTTGAACTCAGGAAGATGGGGTCTTTCTGACTCTAGGCCTGGCACTCTACCTACTGAGCCACCTAGTTGCCCAATATACAGAATAAACAGGAAATAATCAACAGAGGAAAGGCACTAGAATTAAGAAGAGTTGGGAAAGGCTTCCTATAGGAGGTATGTTAGTTGGAACTTAAAGGAAGCCAGAGAAACCAGAAGGTGAGGATGAGGAGGGAAAGTGTTCCAGGCATGGGGGACAGCCAGAGAAAACACTTAGAGTTGGGAGGTGAAGGTCCTTGTTCAAGCAACAGTCAGGAGACCAGGGTCACTGGATCGAAGGTGACGTGGCAGAGAGTAAGGGGTAAGAATAGTTCTTAGGGCCAGGTTATGAAGGGCTTTGAACACCAAACAGGATTTTAAGTTTGATCTGGAGACGATAGGGAGCCATTGGAATTTATTGAGTAGGGGGATGATTTGGTGAGATAGGTACTTTAGGAAAATCACTTTGGTAACTGAATGGAGGATGAACTGGATCAGGGAAAGACTTGAGGCATGCAGGCCCACCAGCAGACTATTGCAGTCATCAAGTCATGAGGTGATGAGGGTCTGTTCCAGGTAGGGGCAATGTCAGAGGAGAGAAGGGGATGTGTGCAAGAGATGCTATGAAGGTAAAGTCAACAGGCCTTGGCAACAGCTTGGACGCCGGGGGTAGGTGGGGTGAGAGAGAGTGAGGAGTCCAGGATGCCTCCTAGGTTTCCACTTTAGAGACTGGGAGGATGCCCTTGACAGTAGTATGGAAGTTTGGGAGCAGAGAGGGTTTAGGTGGAAAGATAATGAGGTTAGTTTTAGACATATCACCTTTAAAGGGTCCACTAGATGTCTAGTCTGACATGTCCCAAAGGAAGTTGAAGATGGGAGACTGGAAGTCAGCAGGGAGGTTAGGGCTGGGTGAAGAGATTAGTTTATCATTAACATAGAGATGGTCATCACAAAGGGTAGAAGAAATAGAAGGGCTGGAAAGATCAAGGGAGACACAAGGATGTTTGTAGGCAGGAGGGAAGAAGCCAGTAGACAAGGAGATTGAAAATAAGTGAAAGAGTGGGGATGACAGAGGGGGCAATCTGTTGGAGGAGATAGATGGAATGGGGTCACTTGGGTAGGTAGAGGCATTTATCTCGGTAAGGAGAAGGGCCACCTCATCATGTAAGACAGAGGTGGGGAAGAGAGTGAGGAAGGCGTCTGAATGATAGGAGTTGAGCAAAAGAGGAGGAGAGGGAATTCTTGGTGAATGGCCTTCCTTTTTTTCTGTAAAACATGAGGTTCTCAAGGTTTTCAGCTAAGAAGGTGGACGGAGGGGAAGCCATGGGGTGTTTGAAGAGGGATGAAAAGGTGTGGAAGAGCCGCTGTGGAAACTTACCTACCTGGGGATATTTACCTAGTTTTGCTTAGAGTTTAAAGAGTGTACCAGAGGATTTCTGAAGATTCTTTCCAAAGTCTTTTGTCCTGGGTTGTCTTATTTATTAAATTCTAGTCTTGATTCAACATTAAGATTGAATTAAGCCAAACAGAGTGATCCTTCCTGCCCCCATTTCCTTTTTTTTTTCCTTTTAAGATTTAAGGAAAAAAAAACTGTTATTGATGGCTCTTGTTTTTACCTCAGTCTTATCTGAATACACACAGCCAGGCTGCCTCTCATACATACACACATATACCATGTGGCTGCTCAGGGCAGTAATATTCAAAGCTGATGAGTGAGATTTAAGCATTTTATTCCTCTCAGGATTTTGTGAGGAAAATTATGTCCTTGAATTTCTCTTATTTCTTACCAATGGATGAACTACTTTACTTTCATATGCTTTCTTAAAATCTTTCTTTATTGTGTTACTCCTTTCTGAAATGGTTCCAGAAGTGGTTTAATGCTAAATAGAATCCACAGTTTCAGCTTTTCCAAGATGGAAGCATGTTCAGTGGTTTCCTGTTTCTCTTTGTCCTTTGGGAATGTTTTGGAAAGACAACTGGATTTTAAACAGTAGTTGTCCCAAGGACTTGTGTAGTATGTTCCCACCTAGGATTGTGGGCCATGGCTGAGTGCCCATTTCTAGGGCCCATGGTGTTGTAGTGTCTGTGTCCATCCATTCACAAGACTGGGTTTCCCCAATGAGAATGAGAAGTTCAGAGTGTGAATTTGTGTCACTCCCATTAAAATATAGGTTAAGCATTAACCTGTTGTGAAAAAAAAATGTTAGCATCAGATATAGATTTTAGTTATATTAAAAGCATTTTATTTTCTTTCCTTAGTTGTAGTTCTAAATTTGAATGTTTTTAATTTGCCGCTTCCTGATTACAGATTTGGCTCCATTTTATTTTCAAGGTATCTGGGACAAATTTTTGAATTTATAATTCCTCCTTCAATATCTGCTATTATGAAATTTCTACCTAGCCCTACTCTGATCCCTCATTACAGCATGAAGGTTCTTAAAGGCTATCTGACTGGTTCTATCGTGCTGGAAAAGCTTTGAGCAAGGTCTGGCCAACAGAATATAAACAACTTTCTGAAGATCAGGTTGGCTAAGTACAGAAAGGCTTACCATCGTTAGATTGTTAACTCGGAGATGAATTTCTTGGTCGTAGCAACTCGTGAAAGATGGTTTTTTTGGTGATTTTTACCTTGTTTATTTGCTATTTTGTTGATTTGATTTTTTCTCTCTTTTTAAAAATCAGATTGGCTAAAGGTTTATCGATTTTGTTAGTCTTTTCAAAGAACTAGCTTTTAGTTCTATATGTCATTTCTATATTTTTTTTGGGGGGGGAAGGGAGAGGATTTCCCAGTTTGTCTTTTTCCCCTCTAACTTTTAATATCTCCTCATTTGTGTTTATTTTAGTTTTTTTACTTGGTGGTTTTCTAATTTTAAAAATGCATTTCATTGATCCTTCTTTTTTCTGTTTCATGAATGCTTGTTTGTAGGGATATGATTTTTTTTTCTTCTTGAGGATAGCCCAGAAGTTTTAGCATGTTGTTCCATCAGCATAATTTCCTATCACATAATCATCGTTTCTTTGATTTGTTCTTTGACCCATTCATTATTTAGGATTTTATTGTTAAGTTTCCATTTGGATCTGTGTCTTTTGTTTGTGCTTGCATAACTAATAGCTACTTTTACTGCATTATGGACTATAAGTGATATATTTACTTTTTCTGCTGAGGCATTTGGAGCATATAAGTTTAATATTAATATTGGTTCATTGTAAGTAGTTTCTTTCAGCATAATATAGTTTCCTTGTTTAGCCTTTTTATGTTTTGAATGTTTATTTTTTTCTTTTTCATTGTCTGATAGCATGATTGTAACTCCTACTTTTTGGGATTCATTTAATGCATAGTAAAATTTTTTCTAGCCTCTCACTATTATTCTGTATATGTCTTTGTTTTTTAAAATGTTTTCTTATAAGCAACAAATTGTGGGGTTTGCTTTTCTTATCCAATCTGTCACTCTTTTTTGTGTTATTGGATTGTTTAATCCATTCACATTTAAATTTATGAGAGTTAGGTTTATACTTTTCTCCATTTGTTTCTAATGTTTCCCCCCCAAATTGGGATCCCCCACCTTCCTTTGTAAACATGATATGTTTCTTTAGTTATTTTAGCTTAACCAGTTTTAAGACAACCCTATTCCCATTGGCTCTGGTCCCTTCAGCGTCACATTTCTTCTCGTCCTATTTGTAATCCTGTTCCATAGTTTTGGGGTTTTTCTTATTAGTTCTTTTTTCTTGTTTGCTTTTATTTAGTTATTTAATCCTTGTCCTCTATTTCCCTCTCATTTAAGTAGTCAAGTACAATCCCCTTTCCTTTCTTTCCCTTAAACTTGTTTGTTAGTTTTTATAATTTCATTTCTGTACCTTTTTGTTAAAAATGTTTTCTCTTATTTTCTTCATTGTTTATTGTCCCTTTCTGTCTAGAGTTTAATTCTTTGATCCATGGCCCTTATATTCATTTAGTCTTTTATTCTCTGTATCCTTCATGGAATTAAAACTTTTTTTTTTTAAGGCAATTGGGGTTAAGTGACTTGCCCAGGGTCACACAACTAGTAAGTGTCAA